ATAAAAATAAAAATAAAAAAAATGTAGAGCCTCAGGATGCACCCCAGGTGTGTCCGGTCGGAGTCTGCATGTTAACAGGGTCCCCAGGTGACAGCAGCACACACAGAAGGTTGAGAAGCAGTGCCGCAGCCTGCCACCAAGTGATAGCTCGGCCTCGGCTTCCACAGCCACTGGGATCGGCAGCTCCCTTCCTCCTCCTGGGAGCCCTTCTACTGGACAGCTCGCACTTGTAGACTTTTCCCTCCTGTCCAAATCTGCCTGTGAGGGATCACCCAGAATACATTTCCTTCTTCTGCCACATTAAAGCCCACATAGCAAGTGTCATTGAAGTGTCATTACTCTCCTTTGTTACACAGAAGCCTGGACCCAGAGGCTGGGTGGGTGGTGAGTGGGGCCACACAAGGTCACCTGGCAAAGACCAGCAGGTCCTGAGACATTGGAGAAGGACCCTGAAAAGGCCCCTTGTAGTTCTGGCTCTTCCTTTACTCCTGCCGGAGTCCAGGGTTTAAAGGATTGCCATTTTGAAGAAGTTTAGAGAACTTGAAGAGGTTTCCCAAAAGGACAGGAATATAGAAGTGATGTCTGGGGTGGAAGTTGGTCTTGCGAGATGTGCTAAACACGAGGGGAGGGGATGGTGTGGTGGCATGCGAGGGGCCGCCCAGCAGCTCGACCTCTTACTAGCTGTGGGACTTTGGGGCATGAACTGAACCCCCTGGGCATCAGCTTCCTGGGTTTTAAAGGCAAACAGGATGATAAACCTGGTTCTGCCTATCTCCAGGGTGTCTGTAGGACTCATGGAAAATAAAACCAGTGAGCACTCTTAATGACATGGGAAATGGTCCAAGGATGAAAGAGAAGATCCAGTGGGACAGTAAATGAATCCAGAAGACAAATCTACCACTGGCTTGCTGTGTGACCTCAGGGGAAGCCCTGGGCCTCTCTGGGCCTCTCTGTGAATCAAGTGGGTCATATACACAAGATCTGAGCACCCTTCTAGAAGGCCCTGGAGTTACCCTGGCTTGTTGCTGTTGGTGCGCATTACCGAGAGGGTTTCTCCAAGAAGGATGGCTCTTCAAATATTTATGTAGGGAGATTTCTTATAGCTTGGAATTGAATCCTTTCTCAGGGAAATGATTCCAGACACTCTTCCTGGCCTATCCTATGGGAGACCCACTTTAAATAATGGGTCTGCTTGGCCACAATCGCACCTGTGTTTCCATGTCACCATGTGATACCTGAGCTGGTGAGTGAAGAGTGATGGTTTCATTTCTGCAGCCACGTCAGGACACCCAGTCCTATTTCTGGAAGCAAGCTCTGCCCTGTGAGATACCTGAACTCATTCCTGGTTGGAGGGTGTCATGTGCAGACTTTTCCAGGGGAACGGTCTTGTTTGATACTTCAGATATCACCAAGGAGTTTTTCAGAAGCATTTCTGTTTGTTTTCACAAGTACGCGGGTGTGGCATACCTGTTAGTTTTGTGAGCCTGCTTTGCCAGAGGAGGCTTCCAGTCGACAAGAAACTGAAACTGGCTTTTGGTTCAGCAGCCCTTCCATAGATGCTTTGCCAGCTGAGAGCAAAAGGACCAATGTGTGTGTTTATGGAGGGTCATAATTGTTCCTTAAGACAGCCCTTCTGTGTCTCTTTCCTGCCAATCTGGGGACCCTGTGTTCATGCTCAACTCACTGTGCTCATATTCCCAACCTCCCATTTCATTGCCTGGATGCTTCTAACTCTGTACATTGCGTTTTTCTCCTGTGCACCCACCGTGTTGTCATGGAAACTCGATGGCCGTAGGCCATGAGTATCCGGCGTCATGGAGTGTGACGGTGTGGTACGTGTATTTGCTCACACTTTTATTTTGAATCCGTTCCAATGTGACATCTGCTAAAATGTCTCCCTTACAATTTGCTTGGTGATCACAGCCTTCTCATCATTCACTGAGAGCAGGACCTGATCTCACAGAATCTGAAAAGAGCTATGTGGTAAGATGCCTATAGCTTTTCTAAAGAGAACCCTTACTGACTTCTAGAGTCTCGACTGGAGTAATGCCTGGCTAACTCACAGAGCCATTATTTGCAAGAATTATATGGCGGTTGTGCTAGAGGGAAGTGTTAGGCCCACCCCCTTCCCTCTCAGAAAGCAGAGGAGTTTAGAGACCATATTTGCACTCTGCCTACATGTGGGATTAAATTAATGGTTAGTGCATGACTGGGGATCCATACTTGCATTTCTATCCTGAAGTTGTTGCATTTGTGACAGTTACTCACTAATTACAGGCTTTTATGCTGCTGCCTTTATTTTTAATATTCATACTAAATTCCAAATTCTTCTGTATCTTACCTGTTTTTTCCATGCTTACGCCTGGATCCCTCCTGCACTCCACTACTGGAATATCTATTTTTTTAACCTGGATCTTCAACTCTGTTGTTTCCCTGGACTTATGTGCTTCATCTGGAATGTTACATCTCTTCCTCTCTTTCTTTTTTTTTCTTTTTGTTTTTTTGTTTTTTGTCCCCATGTTGACTGTTTTTTGGGGGTTTCTGGATATCTCGGGGCCACTCACAGGAAGCAGTTTGCAATGAGATCATAAACATTGCCGAAAAATCTGTTCATTACTGCAGCACTGTTTCTCATCCCCTTGACTTTCATCACAAGGTATCCCCTTCTGACAATAAATCATCTTTAATCATTTCTCAGCAACCTCAAGCCCAGCAGCGAAGAGTCACCCCAGACAGGAGTCAAACCTCACAAGATATGTAAGTACACTTGGTGAACTTCCTTTCTCACGTTCTTAGTAGACTGTTGGCTTTAGAGAACGAGTCATTGACCAAGCGTGGGGGCAGCTACTTGGGGGAATGGACAAGTCACCCCTGGCTTCTCTGAGGATTTCTAGTTGAGGCCATGTTTCCCATCAGCCAACATGAAACAGGTGGTGGGTGGGTGAATAAAGGAGGTCACAGACTACTGAGAGATAGAGACCAGGAAAGAATGAACTGCCATCCAGGGGCAAATGAGAGCAGTGCTGACTGGCTTCAGTACTAGTGTTGTGGGAATATAGAGGAAGGGGTCATTGGTTCTGCCTAGAGAAATAGAGTTGACCCACTCATTAAAAAAAAAAAAAAATCATTGGATATCTCCTATGTTTTAAGCATATAGGAGCAAACTCCATTCCCAGAAGAAGAGAGATTTGGAATGAGCATTGAAAGACACATTGAAGGGGCCCCTGGCTGGTTCAGTCAGTAGAGCATGCAACTTGATTTCAGGGTCATGAGTTCAAGCCCCATGTGGATGTAGAGCTTACAGAAAGAAAGCTAGAAAGAGAGAGAGAGGAAGGAAAGAAAGGAAAGGAGGAAAGAAAGACAAACTGGATTTGAGAGCTAAAAGGTCTTCCCAGCTGAGGAAACCACACATGCAAAGACCCAGGGTAGATGGTGTGTTTGGGGAACTCGGAGAAGGCCCATGTGGGGAAAGGACTCAATGGAATGGTGCACTGAGCAGCATGAAGCCCATCCAGAATTAGAGCTGACTGGGGGACCCAAGCTGCAAGGTTCTGGGACCTTGACCCCCCAGTCTCCACTGTCTGGGAGTGAGGATAGAGAAGCAGGTATCAGGAGTTACTTCCCAGAGCTGAGGCTACCAAAGCAGCCATAGTGGAAGTAAAGAGGAAGATAAGGCATTCTGAGGAGTCCAAGTTGGTTGGAGACAGCAGGCAAGTATGGAAACATCAAAAATGTATTCGCTTACCAACTGGAAATCTATCTGCATCTCTTTATTCCTCATTGGAGACTTCCTTCTGGCAGACAGATCCATCTACTGAATTATCAATACATTTGGATAAGTGTATAAAATTAAATGGTCCCTTTGTTTCAGCAGAGGAAAATGAACCTCTCATTCCTGGGGACTGGCTCCTCTTACTTGTTTCTAGTCTCATTTGCCCACTTACTGGAATTCACTGGCATCTACTGGAAATGGTAGATGGTTGGCTCATTTGCAAAGTTTTGCCCTCTGCTGTTGTGTTTCAGAATAGTAAGTACACAGAATTGTGAACTAGTGCATAGTAGATGCTTCTTAAGTATCTGTCAAAGGAATAAATGAAAACAAACTTTTCCTTGTCAGATTTTACAAGTAGGTCAGCCTCCTCCAGTGAGCTGTTGTCAGGACAGACAGAACAGCACAGACCAGATTGCCTTAGGCCAACTAACAAGTAAATAAAAATCTTACTCCCAAACATCGCTGGGATAGAAAGAAAGCAAAAAGCTTTCAAGAATTTTGGAAGAATGACATCACATTTAAAAACAATTAACGAGGGGCACCTCCTGGCTGGCTCAGTCAGAAGAACGTGTGACTCTTGATCTTGGGGTCATGAGTTTGAGCTTCACTTTGGATATAGAGATTACTTAAATGAATAAATAAAAACTTTAAAAAAATAAAAACAATGAAATATGTATCAGCATATTAAACTCAAGGTAAGCAATTAGAATGTACTTTTTATATCTTTATATTAATGCAACAATTTTATATATATACAACAATTGCTTTATGCTCTCCAACGTATATGTCCAGAATATAGTGTCTATCTCTAGACCTGAGTAACTTCTTTTTTTTTTTGGACTTAAGTAACTTCTGATTATCCTTGATAATCTATATACATTCTCCTATGTTAAGAAAAAGCCTTGGTGGGCGCCTGGGTGGCTCAGTTGGTTAAGCGACTGCCTTCGGCTCAGGTCATGATCCTGGAGTCCCGGGATCGAGTCCCGCATCGGGCTCCCTGCTCGGC